AGTTGTGCGCTCGTTCTCAGGTCGCGTATATCCGTTGATAATTCCCGATTCCGGTACATATCACGAGGGGGTTTTGGGAGTATGAAATTTCTGGAACGATCATTTTCAACTATCCACAGATTGCACATGAACAAACGAACTTCCCATGTATGATCAAACTGTGAAATGTGTTTTATAAAACAAGTTTGTATATTTTTCGAACAAGCTTCCGGAAGTCCATCTAGAGGAAGCGTGCATACTGATGGCAGTGATCGAGGTTGCAGCAACATCTGTGGAAGGAGGCCTCAATATGTTTGCCACATCAGATATTCAACAAGCCCCATTGGAGCTTCTTCAAACTGCTTACGTTGCTGCTGTAAAGTTATTTTGAGGTGCTCTGCCAAAATTAACACCATAGGTTCGGGATGGCGCCAGTTAATATGTCTTCTGATCGGTCGTGCTACTTTGTGTTCGTCCTTGGTTTCCTGTTTCACTATGGCATATCAAAAGGCATGGCAGCTTCAGATGGCCCATTATGGAGAAAAAGCATGATCATGTCGACCCTATTTATAGGGTCATCACGAAGTGTTCCGCAAGGACGTGCTAGAACCTCGGTGGGGTGTGGGTGGGGGGTGAGAAGCGTTGAACTGAAAGTTTTCGATCCAGGTTGGCTGACATTCTGGCCAATCAGGGCATAGCTTCGTTTGGTCCGTGGCCCGTACGTGACATAACTGCCCAGTTGGTTTGACGTTAGGTTCTTAGGGTTAGCTGACGCACATTGTTTGAACACTGACATGCTTGGTGCAATCTATGCGCGTAAGGAAAGTTTTGTAGTTCATATGGCAGTATGGATTTTGCATCGCCCCACTACATTTGATAGACGCTGATATCGCGCCGGCGCCTTGGATGTCAACGACTAGCCTTTTCGATTCTTCTCCAGCCAGTCCACCTGAACGCACACAACTGCCCGGGTAAACAATTTGATCTACGACGTCGATGCGTTTTGGGTTCATCCACCCAGTCCTTTAGGATCACTTTATAATTTGGAGTTCTGTGGCCTACACCAAACTACGGGGCACAATTAGTCAGGTTGTCCGCATTCTTAACGCTCGTGAGCATTGAAGTGATTGTCTACAAACTGCCTCAGCCTTTTCAACAAACAATCAGTTATTCTTGAACAGCCGTCCATAATCGTACTCACACAGACCTGGCTCACACCACTTGTCTGAAACGGAGATATCGATAGACGGCCGCTCTGTTCTTTGAGCCGACTCAAAACGACGGAGAGCTGGCGTGGTCGCTTTGTGCTTACATGCGGCTCTGCCCATCCTGATTGTCCTCTGACCGAAGTCGTTCAACAGAGCGCTTGAACTCATCATGCCACTGGATCCACCAGATATCGCGCAGACCAACTAACATCCCTCCTGGATTTGGTCATCACCGTTGAAAGACACTTAGTCAATCAGGTGATAATTAACACCCCACTGGAACATAGTTACCATTGTGTGCTGCCATTTCATTTCATCTACTACTGGGCCAGAAATCCCGAATCTCAAACGTGGCTGGAAACTTCTGCCATGCAGACTTCATAGGAATGTGCTCTTGAACAAAACAAGTTATACTGGAACCAGCTTCAGTGGAAGACCCATACAGGACATTATCCAGAAAGTTCGCGAAGCTGAAACGATGTTCGTCCCAAAAAACCAGCACGCAGTCGGTTGAGCCGAAAGCTACCGAAGAGGATTCGGCGTCTCCCTGAAAAGAGGTCTTAACTTTTTTTTCGAAAAGTGGACTATAGGAAACACAGGTGAGCTGGCATTCCGTAAAATGTGGAACCGCTGTAAATCAGAAATGGAACATACGAAAACAAGACACCATTCTGGACCTCGCCCGGAAGTGTGGTTTTAAATAAGTGAGACACTACTGAAACGGGCCATCTGCGTTCTCTTTGAAAGACAGGAACGAGGTGCCTGCGACTGACCCAATAGCAGTATCTGAGGTATACAGAGAACAGTACGCAGGCCTATATTCATCCCCACCTCCTCCAATCCAATATTGTCAAGGCGTAGCTACGAATGGCCTCTAGCCGACTTGCTCTTCACGGTGGAGGGCATTCGTCAATTCTTGCACTAAGTCAACCCGTTCTACGCGTTAGTGCCCGACGAAGTCCATCTGAGGATCCTGAAGGAAACTTTGTTCACACTGGCACAACATTTCCACCCGGTGTTTCGTTAGTCGCTTGACGAAGGCCACTTTCCATCTGCTTGGAATGAAGCGCTTGTCACACCAATCTACAAAAATGGTGACCGACTATCATCTGGCAGCTACAGGTCTCTAAGCCTCACTAGCGTGACGTGCAAGGTGACAGAACGCATTCTGAAAAGAGCTATCCTAAACCACCTTACTTTCAACAACTTGATATCTCCAGCTCAACACGGATTTCTCGCAAACCGTCTTGTGTGACAAATATGCTCGTATTTATGGACAGCCCAACCCAAGCCAAGGACGAAGGACTCATATCAGATGCAACATTGTTCCACTTCTCACACAACCCGCTGCCTCACAGATCCGAGTGTAACGGGATTTCAAGGAAAATCCTACACTGGACCAAGGCGCTTGTATGAGACAGAACATTACGCGTGAAAGCGGACTCGACCTACTTTTCTTCAGCCCCCCTCTCCATTGGATTTCCCCAAGGCTCCGTTTTGAGACCATGGCTGTTTCTGATATACCTCAACTACCTTCCATGCGTTCTTTCAAATCCACGTCTACTTTTTGCGGACGACTTGAAATCCTGGAGTTCTTATGCCGGTGCACTTTAATGCTGCAAACCAGTGGTCGTTGGACTAACACTTTCCTCCGAATGACGGAAAGTGCGTCCATATGTCATTTGGACGAGACTCAGCGAATGCCTTTGTCGTGTATGGTGAGAATGGACCAGAAGACATCACGAAGGTAGGTTCCAAAAAGGATTTGGATATCTGCCTCTCTTCAAACATGTCCTTCTCACTGCACCATGAGAAATCGGCCCAAAAGACGTTCGCCGCTCTACGGATGGTTTGGATCACTTTCACCCGTATTACTCGCATGGACTTCCAAATACTCTATGGAGCTTACGTCAGACCGCTCATCGAATGTGCCAACCAAGTTGTCTTTTCAGAGCGCCTCCAGCGAGGTGCTACGAAAATGGTCGCAGGCCCTAAATCCGTGGACTACGAAACGCGTCTTGCATTGCTTGACCTCTTTTTTCTTGAGTATCGTCGCCTTCGAGGGGAGCTAATTCTTATACTTAGTTTGAATAAAGCTTGACCAACTGACATTCAACCGTTAAACTAACTAACACGCGATGGGGACATGGTACGAAGTTTGTCCAGTTCAGTGCGCACACATTTACGCTGCAGTTTTCTTCATTTCCGGAGGTTGTAGTGTGGAATTACCGTGCTCCGGCTGTTGATTGCGCTGCAGTTATTACCCAGTTCAAAACACTATTAGACCCTTTTATGCTGGTCTTCGCGCTGGCAAGCATACTGCCCCGCGCTGAAGACTTGAAGAGTAGTGCCGTAAAGTAGTGCCAGCAAAACGCGTTCAGCCCCAGAGCTGTGGTTGTGTACAACCACTGACCCATCGCTACGCACAACTACGCTCCCCAATAATGCACTGATGATGTCACCTCGATTGGTGATCAAACGTTTGCCATCAAACTGCCCAGCTCAGCGAACAAGCCAACGACCATCTACGCTACCTGAGCTACCGACATTTCCCTCATGTAATAAATCTTAACGTTGAACTGCCGTCCTCAATGGTGCACTGCTTTCAACGTTCCACCCGGGCTCACATGATCCTTCCAGAAATTGAGTTCATGGAAACCAACTAAGCTATTTTTCAAAGCCCATCGTTCAAGACGGAGTGCCCCCTTGGACCAGTTGATCGGATCAGCAAGAACAGGGTTCGGTGGTTTCCTGTTACAAAAGCTCTCCTCATTCTCGCGCCTCTACTGACCATCAGCGCTCCCTGTCAATATTTAGGTTCTTCATTATTCGATGTTTGAGTAATCTGCGAGTTCCACTACAATCGTTTTTTGTCAGCGCGGTCTACCTTCAATCAGCGCTGCTGATCGCGACGGGGTCCAGTGTTAATTGGCGTGTGTCAGCGACCTGGGGTGAAGGTTGTGATCATGGCAACATTCACCCTTCTCCAATCGACATCTACACCATTACTGTGCCCGTTGGGTTCTGGGAGCTTCTTAGCAAACTGAACTCGTTAGTGTTGAGCCCTGTCGATGAATCGAATGGTTTTACATCGCCCAACATGTTCCATGGAGGAGTCGAATGGATACGGTTGACCGCACAATGCTATGATCGGGGTCTACTTGTATAATACAGAACGACATTTTTTATCGAGGCTTCTCGCCGGTATCTGCTGCTGCAAGGTCCAACTGAATCCATGGCTGGTTTGCATTTGGTGGATACCAAGTCATCCGGTGTGAGCGCTTGTGCCGTCTAGAAATAAGTGATGTTCGCTACATAGTTGAAAAATCACCCCTCATTGTCTGTGCGATGAGCGCCAGAATCACCTGTATTTCTCGCTGATTGGGGTAACCGTGACAAATAACGACACATTTTCCTCAACCTCAGAGCTGCGGTCTGTTGGAACGTATGTTGATACAACAAACAGATAGCGTTAACCCCTTCGGGATGCATTTACCTTGATGATTAATCAAACAACATTGCCGCGCGAAGGCAACTATTAACTGATATCCTGTCCAATAAAACAAACATATGAAGAGGAACGTGCGAGAAATCTGTGTTTGCCCCGAGAGACTTGAGATGAATTATCTAATGGGGTCTCGTATGCTTGTTTCGGGGACAGTATGCATCGATCGAAAAGGAGTCAGTGCAAGAGCAACCCGTTGCCCCATTGGACACAGCGTACGCAGTAGCACACATTCTAGTGTATCGAACAGGATGGGCAGGTATGGAGCCGTAACAGACCATGCCAGGCGAAGATCAATAAGCACACGAACACAGTAAGTGAATAGAGGGGGTCAGCATGGTGTCAAGTTAAACATGTAGAGTGGAACGACCTTGGACATGAGTATTTCAGCCCTCGTGCTTCCTTCGGGTGGCGTGGCAGCTAGGCATCAAAAGGGTGCTACAGCTGAACGATTACCTATTTTTTAGCAGTGTACATGAGATATAAACTAGCAGTCAGCTATCCGTTGCACAACTCACTTTTGAATAGACTAGGGGAACAAGAACAACCGTGTTGAAAAATAAGAGGGGATAGAGCCACTTGGCAGTAGTCTGAGATAACGTAAATTTTATACTTTTTGATTCTCATGGGGAACCAAAGGTTTGTCCGGTGATCGATTGTCTCCTTGGAAGCCTTCAATCAACTTGATCGGCCCACGCAAACGACATAAAACTGTAATGGGAATCATCTGATGACGAAGACCTACTGATGAATCAGACGCGCCGCTTATGTTGGTGGCGTTAACGAATTCGCATCGGGGCAACTAGAAAACTGGTGTTTGTTTGTGCAGTCAGTAATTCAGTCGCGTAAAGCTCTCTGCACCACCACCAGCGGTGGCTCGACCAAGTGTTGTGTATGGTAAAACATCGCATACCAAAACTGGTGTGCTTCGTATCCCCTTCAAAACGGTGCAAACTACGGAGTGGACAACGTGTGACATAACAGAATGGCATGAGTGTTTACTAAATGTTTGGGTATTGGTGTGATCTGCCTTCCAGGATGGTGTATACTCGATACCAGTGGTGTTTGTACCATCAGTTTTTCCCCAGATTGTGGGTTGAGCGTCTGGGGATGTAGACACCTCAGAAGGCTTGTAACCAGCTAGCACCAGATCCCTTTTTCATCCACTCTTTTATCTTTGAGGCCTTGAGTATAAACAGCGGGTGAGATGGCCCAAGTGGTTAGAGCGCGAATTTACTGACCGGAAGGTTCGTGGTTCGAACCCGACTTCTGCCTCTCGACTTCCCCTTTCTAGGCTTGGGCAACCTGACAGTATCCCAGCAACCTTCGGGTGGCATGACAGTTGGGCACCGAAAGGGTGCTACAACTGAACATATAAACAACTAAACTTTGTGGTCGTATGACTGAGAAATTAGTGTCAATACTGGTGTCCTGTCTCGTGATGATGTAATGGGGGAAGTCGAATATGCAGATCTTCAATAATCGATGGGAAAACCTAATCGCCAATATCCATAGGAAGGCACTTATACGGAGCGTTTAGTGTCCGGGTAAGGCGGACAGTGTCAGTGGTAGAGATCGGTCTACGAAACGGATGTACTGTGGTTGGTCAACCAACTGCACTCAGCTGTTCCAGCCATTTGTAGGCCCGATTGTCACCAGAGGTCTTGCGTTTGGCTTTCTGAAGTGTGAATTGGGAGGTAAGGAAAGGGTTGTGATACAAATCCGTCTTTGGCTGCCTGTCAGAACCATGCCTGCCTGGATCACATTCGATTGATTTGTTTCATCTCAAATTCGAGTACACGGAACACCAAATTTTTCTACACAAAGACGAGCGTACAAACCAATCCACTCTCCATCCACGGCCCTTTGACTCGTTTGAACACGTGAGTCAAGTGATTAGACAAATGTCCACATGAAGAACATGGTCCTCGTCTACATAGACGGCGTCAGAAGAAGCTATACAAATTCGGACAAACCCTGGCTAAAAGGATCGGAAGTTAGTCTGATTACACCCGATCCCATTCTCGCCAGTGCGCGCACCAACGATGTCTCCTCGAGTGGCGAATAAGTGTTTGCATACCAGGTACCAATCTCCCCAAACGGATCAACTACCACCTAGCCTAGATAGTTCTTATGTAGTTCTTATGCACCTAATTGGCCAATATTTAGTTTCCAGCACCCTATACGGGAGGGCCTCTTTTGACAACGAGATTTTAGCTCCGAATTTGATATTGGACGGAATCCGGCCCCGGAATAGGGTCTGTATAACTTTGTATACCGATTTTGCACTGCTCTTCGTTCGTGAATGGTTGCAATTCGGATCCTTTTTGGAACCACCTCATCACACAAAAGATAGGTTAAGTAAAGTGAGTAGATTGGGTGGTATGAGACCGAGCTTCTAGTAGTTCGCTAAAATAACCTCAGCAACTATTTTTGCTGATGTATGCTAGCATTGTGGCTGACCGAGCCCGCACGGTTTCCTGGACGCTACTGAAGTGATAGAACAATACACTCCGGTAGTGGACTAGTTTTGTCAGACTGCCGATTTGCATTAACTTGCTTGCTTTTTTTCAGGGAATTTATTTTTCTTGGACCACTTCACTTGCTTGTGTGTCCTTTTCTCAACTCCATCGAAAATGCCGAAGCCAAACAAGAGTAACTTTTCAGTTCGTCACTTCCATACCTCGCACCCAACTAGGAGTTCCCACTCTGCCCAAGGAAGATTTGATGGTGATGACAATCGGCGAAATAATTGCGCAACTTATCAAGGCAGTGGAGGAAAAACGAGATGTTAACCTAAACAAGTTTGCTGTTTGTGACGTTTTCTCATGATCTAGACTCAAGGCAGAGGTGGCTAGCAAATACGGATTATCCTCACAGCCCCGACTGGTTGATCTAATCGCTGCTGTACCGTCAGAGCACAAGCATGTAAGTTCGTTGTCATATAGACACGTCACATTGTCAGGCTTTGCTGCCTCGCCTCAAGGCCAAACCAGTGCGTTCTGCCAGTGGGGTACGTAAAACGTCTTTTGAATCCAATCATAACATTCTCCAGATTGTTGTAATTGCTGTAATGTGCAAACCACATCGTTGTCCCCACATCGCTATGACTGGAAATGTGTGTGTGTAAGTCTGGCTTCCCGGAGGATCCGGTCGATTCCGACACTTTCAGCTACTGTCCAGGTGGTCCTGACTCAGACTTCGAATATTCCACTCAATCTTACACGGGCTATGAGGTTAGTAGACAAGTGACTAGTCCTATTGAGTTTAGCCCACTTCGATGCGTGCCATTCGTGCCCGATATAATCCCTACATACAAACTCGTCATCGAATTGAGCAGGTAAACTGCGAGTCCTCCAACGTTCATACTTCTCTAGCTTCAGCAGCTGGGACATGCCTGCGATAAGGTTGAATTCATCGTGATGGGTGGCACTTTCATGTGTTTGCCGGAAGATTATCGCGATTACTTTATTCGGTAATAAGTAGCTCGATCTTTTAAACCCTTTTTTACAGAAATTTGCACGATGCCTTGTCTGGTCACTCTAGTCACAGCGTAGAGGAGGCAGTGACGTAAGTACGCTGATTCATGTACTGTTTATTCCGGAAACAGATATTCTGAACGTAGCACCACAAAATGTGTTGGCATTACAATAGAGACTAGGCCAGATTATTGCTTGAAGAAACATTTGGGTGAAATGTTACGCTATGGATGCACCCGTTTGGAGATCGGTGTCCAAAGTGTGTATGAAGATGTTGCTCGGGATACGAACAGGTAACTTTCTCCATTTAATCGAATTGTTATCGTCGAACTGCATTATGTAGGGGGCATACTGTCCGCGCCGTATGTGAATCCTTTCACCTGTCCAAAGATGCTGGGTTCAAAGTGGTCGCACATATGATGCCCGATCTACCGAACGTCGGTTGGGAACGCGATTTAGCACAGTTTGCTGAGTACTTTGAAAACCCGGCTTTCCGATCAGATGGATTAAAAATCTACCCAACCCTGGTGATTCGCGGTACTGGACTATATGAGCTGTGGCGTTCAGGACGGTACCGTAGCTATCCGTCTACCATGCTGATCGATCTGGTGGCGCGCATCCTTGCCTTGGTGCCGCCCTGGACTCGAGTTTACAGAATTCAGCGGTAAATCACTTCTTGTCCAACTTGTTTTCTGTCCGCCTTGAGTTTTTTCTGCCATGTTGGGTCTTTGGTGTTTGGTCTTCTTGCATAGTTTTTTTGTTGCGAACATTGTATGCTCCCTACGTTTGAATTAGCTACTATCCCATGAATAGCTTAGAAACCTGTTATATCATTTCTCAAGCCAATGTCACCCCCTTGAGCTTAGTTTGCTCTAGAAACGACGCAGATGTTTGTCGCGCTCTTATTCCGCATAGATACCATTGGTTTTCAACCTGTCTTTCCCGCTTTCCGCTGTCCACTTTTCCCTCAACATCCATGTTGGTAGTACAACACTAATGACGTCATCATCAACACCCACCGTTAGATAAATCGGATGAAAGTACCTGTTCCGACGGACATAGTGAGGCGATTGGGTGTGGTCGATTTGTCACTAGTTTGTCACTACCGAATAACACCTTTTGGTCCTAGTAGCAGGCGGAATGGAGCAACACAACCAATAACAGTGTTATTGCTTTAGTGTCGACGCAGTCTTTAGCACTGAATCCTGGCACCACCGTTATATCCTAAATTCTGCTGAGGAAATGCTGAGTACGAGTATGAAGCTAAATCTTATCGCACCAGAGTCCAAGCCGAGGAGCGAAAGGAACTGTGCTTAATGAGTAATGATCGTTTACACAGGAACCTTATAATGGGTGTTGTTGCCTGTGGATCAGTAGTCAAATGAACATTTAAGAGTGGTTGTTTCGTGTGCACTGATCCAACTGTTGGATTCAACTGAAGAAGTTGGATTGCGATCCCAATGGCGGGCTTGGTGATCAAGCTGGCGCCCAGATAGCGCACCCAAGCAACCCATGTTCCACGGAATAGCTAACATCCGCAACAGTGTATTCGCATTCCATCACTATTATCTCAGTTGGACTTATGTGCTGCAAGTGAATTCAGTCTATGCTGAAAACTCGAGGAATGCTGCTCATCGCATTTTTGTTGGAAATCCTCAGCAATTTGTATTTCACCAATGTTTTTTGGGATCCTGGAACCTGCAGGGTTGGGTAGGGTTGGTACCATTCAACAAGTGGCTAATCGGTGGTGTGATTAAATTACACGTAGGTAGAACAGGGTGCGAATTTCCAAGGCATAGTGTATGTCGCATGCCCCGGCGCAGGTTGATACCTCAAAGAAATGTCTTCAGGTTAAGACCAATGCGACTTGTGAAGTTTTTCCTAACGGGACAGAGTTTCACTTCCTGCTTTCGATTGCACACAAGACCGGAAAAAGAATGCGTTCAAGGCTTCCTTTTGTATAAGCGTTACATATGGTGTCTGTGACAGTTTCTAGCATTCAGACTGCATCGTTTAGAGAATACCGCCTTTTCAACAGTTCAGTATCACTGGATCTAATTAGTCAGGCACTGGATTCACGTATATGTGTGCAACAGAAATACAACAACTTCGTACGCCCAAGAAAAACACTAAAAAGCTAGGGATTTTTCATGATCACGGAGCTCCGGTTTGAATTTGGAGTGATCACAATCCAGTCGAACCGGTTTTTGGACTACTATATTGAGTATATTTCCACTTTCCTTCGCAGAGACATTCCGATGCCTTTGGTGACCAGTGGTGTGGAACATGGGAACCTGCGGGAGTTGGTGTTAGCCCGAATGGCCGAGCTGGGCGCCAGTTGTCGGGACATTCGTACTAGAGAGGTTGGGATACAAGAAATACATTCTCGTGTGAAGCCCTATCAAGTCAGTTGTTGAAAATGATTTATTCTCCTGTTTGGTTGGTTCTGATGCCTTTTACTTGCCAGTAAAGTTCTCATCCGACAGGTATCCTTCAAAAATGCAAGCCATTTTAGCTATCCCTAGTAACTCTGCCTCACGATTCGCCATGCGCTTCACACCTGTAAAGTATAAAGTGTGACTGCAAAACTGAGTTGGATCAAAAGCAAACCTCATGCTTGCAGACGATCCTGTTGATGTGGTAGATAAATTTGGACAACTGTGTAAGTTCCGGTGGACTAGTTGGTGATCAGATTATTTATCGAATCAGGAAAGCCAGGGCAGCTTTTGCCAACCTCCAACACCTATGGCATCGACGTGACGTCAGTCTGTCTGTCAAGGGCGGAGTTAACACTGCGGCGATGCGATCCTTACTGCTTTATGGATAAGAGACGGCTTCTACGTGCAGAAGGCTTACAGAAGATGTCAGTGTTTGACCATCGCTGTCTTCAAAGGTAGACTTAATCGAGTCGACGACTTCCCCCTCCATGCATTTGGGTCGCCGCAATCAACTCACTGATGGTTAATGACACTAGGAGAAATGGCCCGATCGTGCAGTCAGTAGCGCGCATGTATCAGCTCTATTGCCATCAATGCATAGCCACTCAATTCCCGAACTAACTGAATATGCCATCACCTCCAATGCTTGGTCGTATATCTCATTGATCCCACTTTCCAGCGATCGAAACTAGCAGCTAAAACCAATGTGAATATGGTACACTGTTTATAAGTGACAGACTGAAACTGATTGATTCATCCATCAGGTTTTGTGAGGGGTTCCCTCTGACTTTGAGTCAGAGTGACACCAGTCCTAAACAATTCTCGCTCCATGCCAGGTCTTGACTGAAGTGTTCACAGCTCTCAGCTCACTCAAAGTTAACGGGTTCATATTTGTGCCCATTAACAGTGTGTTTCAAAGAGCCCTGAATTTTTCTTCAAAACCATTGATTCTTGGGGTGCACAGTTTAAGGTTCTTTACTGGAAAGGCTGTCTGACCACCATCTTGAGCACCACTTTGTCGTCTTGCATGATCACCGGTCAATTCTGCACTCCCACTTCGGCCAAGGGGCCATTTCCCCCATTATATACCCACTTATTTGAGCACTGGATATCTATCGCTACCGGATCTCTACAAACACTCGAAGAATTGCTCGAAGCTCGAACATGTATTTCTCCTGATCTATAGTACAACACTGGGCGTTCTGTCAAACTTCAGGTGGAAAAGAGCATCCACATGTGGGTTGCGAAGTGTGATTGTCCAGAAAGTTGAAGAGATGGGAGAAGCGAGAAACTTTAGGAGTGTGCATAGACCGTGCCAGCTGATGCGCGTAGCAGGCCCAAAGAAGCCGCTGGTGAGCGAAACAATTACTGATGACAACGACTCATCTACCTCCAAGAAAGAAGAGCGCCTGAATCGTTGAGTCGCAAACTTTCACCTCATTGGTCACATGCAGGTGCCCAGTGGGATTCCCAACTAGCAACGCAGCCTTAGACAACAATGAATTTGAAAGCTCTAACAGCTTCGGAAATAAGCGAATGTTTTTTATCCATCAATCGTCACCTGGCTGCTGGTCTTAACGAACTCAATTCAGAGATGGAGGTGAAATCCTTAGTTAATGATTTTCAGACTTACTTGCCTCTGTATAGACGGAAGAGTTTGTCCCAACCAAATGGGATAAGTCGATAAAATCGGTTTTTGAAAAAAAAAAGCTCTCAGTAGATGTGAAAACCGCTGAGGAATCAGCTTGACTTCCGTTGTAACTAGACTGCACTTCGCTTATCTTGCGTCAGCTTACGAAGGGACGCGAAGACAGCACCCGACGAGAACTGCAAGCAAGATTCCAGGAAGAAGCTGTGTGGACCACGACTTCCCGCGTGGGTTTTCACGGAAGCGACAAGAATGTCTAGCCTCTCCATTTTTGTTTAGTTTCCTCATTGATGGGGTAATGGGGCGAACGGTGCAATGTCCCAAGAACCCTGGTGTTCGGATCCCTTCGAGTGAGAAACTTGTCGACCTGGAATATGCAGATGAGATTGTTCTCATTTTTGAAGAAGAACAGGAAGCGCACGCATTGCTTATATAGCTCACCAGAGTCACTCCGTCCTTCGGCGTGTGCTTCATACCTAAAAAGTGCAAAGTTGTGCTGCGGGACCTACAGTATTTGAACATCGCTGTAAGAATTCAAGTGGTAACACTTGAAGTTGTATCTCGGAAGTTGCATTAGATCTGACGGTAGCGTGACAGACGCACGAATTTCAAAGGCCGGAATTGTGTTTGCCTATTTGGGGCCTATCATGGGTCTCAAAGAACTACATGGTGTGCTACACTGTTGTATGACTGTAGGACTCGGCAAGTTCGGGTGGAGGATCTGAGACATCTTCAGGTCTTTGATCACTAGTGTCTCAGAACCATATTTTTAGTCACCTGGAACCATCGAATTCGGAATAAGGTGACCAGGGGACGAGTTTCTGGTGAAACAGACGCACTTCACCTAAAGAGTGCACACAGCGCTGCAAACTAGGGTGGCTGAGCCATGTGTTACGCATGCCTAATTACCGCCTTCCCAGACAAATACTGTTTTCCGTGCCTAATTCGGACTGGCAGAAACCCGGAGCTAGTCAGAATATTACATGGTATAGGGAAATGAAGGACGTTACAAAGAGTTTCGGTCCTTTTGGTGCTGCTGTCGGTGCCACTCGCCCTGCAGGTGATTCCGTTTGCACCTAGTTGGAAACGCTGCAAGATATGGCTGCTAATCGATGTCAATGGATGTTGTGTTGTCAGTTTCTATCCAAATTGTTTGATTTAGTGTTGGAGGTGTAGGCACCTTGGATGTTTGCTGTAGGTTAGCCTTGTCCTTTTTCTCTCCCCATTTTTCTCCCTTCTACTATAAGGTTTTATTAAAATCAAGTACCAGTCTTCTCATCTGGTGTTGCCGTCAATAATCGGTTGCCCATATGCCGTTTCTCTGGCCCGTTTTACATCTGAAACAGCTCTATTTCTCCTCCGATAGCATGAATGGTCTCATTCAGTACGGTCCTCCAGATGCATTTTCCTCCAAACAAACCTCTTCGAACAACGACCACTCCCTTAGACACTTGACAATAGTGTACTCCCGTCGGCCACGACTTTCCACGTGGGCTTTCACGAGCTGATGTTATCTTCTTGATGGGTCAAATACTCCTACTTTCCGCAGAGACGTTTCTACGGATTTAAGGGGTTGTTATACTGTGAACAACGTTAAACTTGTCTCCTAGGGACATGTTTTCCATGCCCAACTCAGAGTGGCGTAAACAGAGAGGTGGCCGACCCTCGACTTGGCAGAGGAGTATGAAGGAGATCACGAAACGTTTGGGTGCTGTCGGTGCTACTCGCCTTCCGGGATGGGGACCGCATGATCCTCACTGTGCCTGGTCGGAGACACTACAAGATATGGCTGCCAACCGATGTCAGTGGCGTTCCTGTTGTCAGTTTCTATCCAGATTGTCTGATTGAATGTCTGGAGGTGTAGGCACCTCGGAATGATTTGTGGTAAGCTAGCACTACGTCCATTCCCTGTCCACCTTTACTCTTTCCTTTACAATAAGGCTTTCAGAGGCAGTGAAGCATCGGTGTTGAGCACTGATGTCATGCTGTCGATGATGATGATGATGATGCCTAGGGACATGTGGATGTTTGAGCCTTTTAACCTACTTTATTCATGCGAGCGGAAGAGTCCGCAGCAGTGGCAAGGTCTCGTGTCCAGTATTATATTCAAACTTTGTTTCTTTTCCCTACCCCCAAATACAGATTGAGTTAATCCGTCGAGACTATTTCGCCAACGGCGGCTGGGAAACTTTCCTAGCTTACGAGGATCCCTATCAGGACATTCTAATCGGACTGTTGCGTCTTCGACAATGTTCACCACAGACATTTCGATCTGAGCTACGCTGTAGCCAGACCACAGATGGACAGGGTGAGGCTGACCCACGTTGCTCAATCGTCCGCGAGCTTCATGTCTATGGTAGTGCGGTACCGATTGCAGCCAAGGATCCGACTAAATTTCAGCACCAGGTTAGTAGTTATGGTTCTGTTTTACTATTCTGAGACGTGCCTTTCCAGGTGTCCTACTGAGCTTTGTTAGAACGAAGATTTTTACCACTGCAGACGTTTGCTTAACTCTCACAGGCATCTTTGCTCATGTGACCAGCTAGACATGTGATTAGGTCAACTACTGATTGACCATTCACCAGCGAATTATATTCGAACTGAGATTATGCTACATCCCGTCGCTCGTATCTGTATGTCCCATTCTGATCAAGACTTTAGATGTCGTTCGGTTGTTCTGCATTTTTATAAACTACACATTCCTAAATCACTCAACGGACATGAGCCTTCTGGCATCATGTGTCTAGTTTCACCTAGTGGATCGAAAATAGTTTTCCAGTCGTCGCTGAAGGTGACCGGATCCAACTCTGTGTTTGTAGAAAAGCAGCGTGATACAGTCATTCCGATTGAACTGGCCACTAATCGGTCGTGCAAGAACGCTCACCACTCTTCGGGTATCTGGAATCCATCCTTTTGGTCTCCGACTTCAGATCGCCTATCTGCACTCTAGTACTGTATAAGAGCTCCATCTTGACGGTTCAAGTGGTGTAAATTCAAATGAAATCAGCGGTCGTGTTTTTAAGTATACGACAATCACAAAAGCAGGGAATTTGCCACTTCCCAAAAGCCTAGATAGAAACAAGTGATAAGTTGGAGGTGTTGTGTGAACTCGAAACGGCTCCGTGGTTCGAACCCGATCTCAGCATCTTGGTTGCTCCTGCCTAGGCTCGGACAATCTGACAGTATATCGGCCCTCTGACTTCCCTCAGATGGCGTGGCAGGTAGGCACTGGAAGGATATTACAACTAAACGGTTGTTGTTTTTTGTCTGGGTTTGGTTTCCCTGGCAAAAAAAACCTTTTGTTTTGTTTTGTCATTCTTGTTGTTTTTTGTCTGGGTTTGGTTTCCCTGGCAAACAAAAACCTCTGTTTTTGTTTTTGTCATTCACCTACTGCAACAGTTTGTACTACAACTGAACCACTTTATTTCGAATAAAAATCCCGTCAGAATCACCTGTGGACACCTTTTGACAATCTGAAACAGTCAAATTACTCCTGTAACCATGGACTCAGCCGTCCGTCCTCCAGTGTTCATTTCTATCCCTTTTCCAGGGCTTCGGTGGGCTTCTGATGGAAGAGGCCGAACGCATTGCGCGAGACGAACATGGTTCCTTGAAGATCGCCGTAATCAGTGGAGTCGGGACACGGAACTATTACCGAAAGTTGGGCTACGAACTCGAGGGACCTTATATGACCAAGATGTTGACTTGCCGTTCGAACGGGTGATTTTTAAAACAGACTACTTGATTTTTAATTGTACATACTTGGCACTAACTACACTGCTGTGATGAATTTGATGACTCGTGTTTTTGTACTGGAAGGTCACGCAAAATGCTCTTAACTGTCACACTGTTGCTTTCTTTCCTGCTTACTAAGGAATAGCTATGTCATTGATCAGTTTTCACCCAGTCGCAACACATCTCTTGCTTTCAGAGGTACCATACAGCCTTACATCGCACTAATTACTCGTCTATTTTCGGAGGCTACAGTGTTGGTGGTAAGAAACTTTGTCAGTTGTCCACTTAAGCCCTGTGATTCAGTGACCCATCTTGCGAGTTCCAGACACTGCGAAACAGTTGGTATTGATGACGACGACGAAGAGACCTAAGCTATACAGTTCACGCTCGTCCTAATGCCAACTTTCCTCGTTAAAACAGCGCTGTTTACATGACTTTGATAAGAGGACAAGCTTGGACAACAACCGGTTGACAGATTTTTCGGGAGGTAGCGATCTTTGTGGATCGTTTCAAGAAATATCACAACTATTCCATTGGTTGATTGCTTGATTAGTTGGTTGGTTGTTCGGTTGTCTTCTTCACTTTTCCGCATATAGTGATATACAGGCTTGTGGTTCGATTGACATTCTACACGACGCTTCTTTTCGAGTGTCAAAAATCGGATATTGCTTCTACACATGACACGAATCATGGGTGCGCAGACATGCTCGGCTGTCCTAAGCTTCATCCTCTAACAAACCACGAAGTCTCCGTCTGAAGTATATCGTTTAGTCGTCATTGTTTAAGCCACCTGTATGAATATTTTAGTCCAAACATGGCTGTGTTGACAGTAGCGCGTGATAGTCCTGGTGTTTCGGACAATACGTGTGCCAAATTCTTCAAGGTTTCGCAGATATCTTCAACTAATAACCACTAGTTCAGGTGTCTTGGTAAGGCAAGTTAGGTTCGGAGCACACTCTTGAGGAGGCGCCAGTTTTGAACTCCATTTAATTTACTTTAAAGGTTTTGTAGATTATTTAGATTCTCGAATTGGGCATCGTTTTAATATCAAGAGGGATATCTGATAAACGCAGACGTGATTCGTGGTGTTCGAAAGCTACCCTCGCTTTGCCCGCATTCCCGAACCCTAAAGTCTGCTGTGCACGGATACATTGGTATTGATCCTTTGATTATCAGATTGAGGGCACTACATTTTCCTTGAAAGCGTCCTTCCTTCGATAGTGTTTTATCTTTTGTCAAACGAATGCTTTGGAATCACTCCTTTCGAAGCACTCTCCCGAACATCACAGTAGAAAACCTCGATTCTTTTGATATAGTCGAAGATTCAAGACCATCCCCAGACATCCCGTTGCCTGAAGATACCTTTATTGGAGATTGGGCGTGCATGCGTAACGCTGTGGAGTGAAACGGAATCTCCACCGACCGCCTGCTTGTAAGACAGAAGGGCCAGTTTTATGCTACAGGTGTTGGCGATGGATTAGCTAAGCGTTCCCCCTCTTTGTGCTCACATTAACTAATGAATTAGCAAAACATCACATGCGGGTGATGCGTCGATGATAATTTCTTGGTATGTGTTACTTATTCCCACTCACTACTTGTTCCGTCTGCTTTTAATTAAGCACATCCAAATAATTCACCGGCTTTTGGGCTTGAACAATCAATGGCCGAACGGTTGATTGTTACTTCTAATAGTTAGGAGTTCGTGACGTGCGCACTCCTGGTGATTACCCATCAAGATGAAACAGCTTCATAGTGCCTCTCATATTTCAGCACATATTGGCTTTACTTACAGGACGAAAAAAATAAACAGTAGATAATTGGTCAGCTGTAACACCCTTTCGGTGCCCAATGGCTATGGCACACGAAGGAAGCCCGAGGGCTGGGATTTTGCCAGGTTGCCCAAGCCTAGACAGGGGAAGTCGAGTTGCAGAGGTACAGGACGAAATCTCCAGTAAAATATTCCTTTCTCCTCCTCATTGATCATGCAACTACTGGCCGACTGATGCTTGTCCCAGACGTGCACCGACTCTGGTCATTTCCTCGAATTGGCCAGTTTGACTTGGCCTGTACCGGGAGACTCGCTGTACAGAAATCTGCCTGCTTATGTTATGCATTACGTAGCACTGGTCATGGATTATTTGTACGTTTGGTTGGTGCATCTAATTTCCGAGCCTAACAGAGCAGCAACTTATTTTAGGAGGATTGTCCGATGTGAAATATTCCTTGGCTCATATTTTTCTACTCACCAAAATGCGGACTGTGGAGTAATTTTGATCCAAGTCAGCTCGTAACCAAGACGGCTCAGTGATTAAGGCGCGGACTTACTGAGCGGAAAGTCCGTGGTTCGAGCCCCAACTCTGCATCTCTGCTGTCTAGGCATGAGCAACCTGGCAGTATCTCAGCACCAAAAGGGCATAACTGCTGATTCATTGTTATTCTTAGCGAATACACACTCATTTGCAAACTAATTTGGTTTCTCAATAGACTCACCTGGAACCCAGCTGAATATCTCGGTTTTGATGTTTCCAGGCAACTGATTGTGCTGCACCAGGCCGCCTCATGTTTCAGTTGCTACGATATTCAAGATATCGCGATAGTTATATATTTTTGTAATGCACTACCCGTAAAGCTGCTGTCGAGGGGTTTTCAGCAGCCTTATGAGTAGTGCATTACAAAAATATACATTGTTATTCTTGTTATCGTTTTCTAGGCAACGATTTGTAAGAGATTGTGACGGTTTCAGTCAAAGCTGTAAAGCATTTCAAAGTCAATGGAGGAAACTGAGTATAATTGTCAACAGCTAAAATTCGGTACCACGATGGTCGAACGCGACCGACGGGAATTATTGATCGTGCAGATCACGGAACTACTATGAAAATAAGCTCCTTCAGCGTTGCAAGGATGGCATACGCCACTGGCAATGGAATCATCACTTGTATCGGGTACAAGCATCGTAATGGTGGCAAAATGTGTGATTCTAACTTTTGTGGGCACGAGCCGAAACGAGACCTTGGTCGTCAAAAATCCCCGGTCGTATCTTTCATCCTTCAGTGAGAGTGTTGCATTATTCCCTGATTCTTGTATTCAATGAGCAGATGGCGGGCGACTAGTTGTATTCATGTGTACTGAGTGCATTCATCATCCACTGTTTGTAATGCATGTTTTCTCTATATGTTGGTCGTTTAACTGTGATAGCACGGGTAAGCTGGATGTATAAGTTGTGTACGACTTGCGCATCACCCACCAGTTAGTGAAAAATAATTTGCTCCCTCGGCTCCGGTAACGTGCTCAACCAATCAATGACGTTGAATTTGCCAGCCATACGTACAAAGGAAACTAAATTGAAGCCCAAGTGATTCTATCGTTTTCGATACTCTCAAACCTAACGCGCAGTTGTAAAGGCTGTATCCGACTTCATTTTAGCCGACATTCGAAGTAGTTCTTCTTTACACCGGGAAGCTTTTAGCTAAAATTGTGGTGCATATTCAGGTGGCAGCTACCGACGAGCAAGGAATCATCCCGAAAACACTAACGAATAGATTATGTTGAAGTACCGTATAACAGGCGTTGAAAACAAACAGTCGAATACGTCAGTACGTTCTTACGGTTCGGTGTAGATGAGAGTGCGGAATACCATTTCCACTTTGGGTATGACTGGGAGCTGGTTGGCCAAAGGAAATGGCGTGAACTATATGTACCGATCAAAGTGACGTCGGTTTACACTTCTAAGTGCAACGGACAAATTCACCTAAAACACTACAAACTGATATGGAAAGACCTATTCAGGCGGATATTTCGAGCCAAATGTGCAAGGTAAAAGTGAAGATTGATACACAGCGTACATTTACTATCAATTTTTCAGTAAAGATTTACCGTCAAACTATACCAAATGTCGAACATTTGCAGTAACGAAGAACCGGACAGATGGAAGTGGCTTTTCTTAGAAACTGCCGAACTCAGTGCATCGTCAGATTCGTTCGGTAAGCGAGAAGTGCGAAAAATAGCGCCGTATGATTTCTGGTTTAGTGCAACTCAAGGTCAACGTGAACAGACAAATTAGACGGCAGCACAGTGAAACTTTATTCAACTTGAGTCGTTTGAATATATGAACGTCATCATCATCATCGGCGACATCAGTGGTCAACACCGATACTTCACTGTCATACCAAAATGCTTATTTGCAGCCTTACTGTGGAGAAAATAATAAAGGTGGATGTGGAAGAGACTTAGTGCTAGCTTACTACAATCATTCCGAGGTGCTTACACCGCCAGACACTCATTCGGTTAGAAAGTATCAACAAGAACGCCACCGGTCTCGGTTGCCTGCGTCTCCAATCAGGCGTAGTGGGGATCACGCGATCCTGATCCTGGAAGGCGGGTACCACCGACAGCACCCAAACGTTTCGTAATCACCTTTATGCCGCTCTGCCAGGTCAAGTTTTGGCCATCTCTCTGCTTCCGTCGCTCTGAAGTTAGTATAGAAAACGGTACTCTTCGGCAAACGATGGTTACGTATACGCAAGGCATATCCCAACCAACACAGCTTCCGCTGCTGGACACGTTCCGTTGCGCAACCGCATACTCGCTTTGTAATTGTCTTGTTGCGAATTCGCCGACAGCAACCCACACTAGCTATGTTTCTGAGACAACGATTGTCGAACACCTGAGGACACCTCGGTTCCGCTGCTCAAACATGCCCAGTTTCACAGCCCGCACTGTAGCTTGATACACATCCCTTGAGATTCAGGGATAAACCACTTCGATGCCATAGGTGTCTCGAATTAGCAAACATGACCTGGGCCCCGCAGATTCGTGCGTTCACCTCATCTGTCACACCACAATCAGACCAATACTACTTCCAAGATACGTAAAATGTCCCACAATCTCGGGTACCTCGCTCTGGATTGTAATTGGCGTGTTCAATGGCTGCGTGTCCAGAAACGTGACCTTACACTTTTTGGATGTGAAGTGCATACCAAAGGACGGGATGACTGTGGTTAGTCCATCCAAAACATCTGCGCCTTCTCCTCCTCCTCTTCGAAGGCGAGAACGATGTCGTCTTCATATTCCGGACCGACAAAGTTTTCGTCACAGGCTATCTGAACACCAG